TCTTCACGTGAGTATTCGCCAAAATTACACCGTTTATCACCGTAAGAAGCTTCTCCTTTTTTCTAATATTAGTAACTCTTGTGGACACTTGGAGAAATGTTGGATGTATAGATTCCAGTGTTTTTCAATTTTTTTAAATTAATTATCAGAGAAATGTTATGATTGATGGCATTATAACTGAGTTATACAGCACATAAGACATGTTTGAGTTCGCTCTACTTCTAAACACGATTGTGCTGTTTCCATAGGCCACAGAGAGAACTATGTGACAGGAGCGAAAAACGGCCCGAAACTGCTTTTGGGGTTCAGAGGGTTAACCGTATGACAGGCAAAATGAGACACAAGAATCCAGTTAATTTGGGATTTCTTGTGGACAACAGGTGGTAGGGCAGATGAGGCTGGCACAGCCAATGCTGATTTTATATACTGAGTCCAGAAATGGTTTGCCAGAACTTAACTGTGGTGCCATCTTCGCTTGGATAGGAGGTCCTGTGGCCCAGCGACTGGGAGCTACTAGCTTGAGCAGCCTGTTGCCTCTGGAAAGCTCATCCGCTGAGTTCAAGGCAGATGAAACATACTTCCAATCCACAGTTAGTAAGCTGCAAGATCTGTGTTATCCGGATAGTGACAAAGATTTTGCAGTTTGCAGCAGTTCGGGCAGCTGGGCTCCGGTAAGGGCAGCACATACACTCAAGGCAAGGTACTATGGGCTGGCATTTTGGGTTCTAGTCTAAAGCGGGCCATAACAAAGGCCTGGTTAGACTGTCGTGCTCAGTCACCTTACTCAAATAAGCTGTGTGCCTTTTCTGATGGTTAGTAGCAGCATGGGATTCTAATCTTATCCAGGTCGGGGAGCTACTCTTCCAAGGGTTAGGGTTGGGGTTTCCAGGCTGACTTAATGTTTGAATGAAGGATTGGGGCCGTCCCCCTTCTGCTCCCTCATCCACCAGAACTTTCAACAAGGGTCATGAAAGGGTTGAGTAAATCCATTGGATCATGTCAGCTGGTTTGGACTTTGTATACATTCTTGAGAGTCGGGGAAGAATACTTTACTGATCTTTTAGCCAAAGCTCTGAGGAGGCAGACCGTCCGTCTGGGGGCAGATGTTGATCAACCATAGGACTGTTGCTAACCCAATGTCAGATCTCAAACCCACCTTTGGCCAGAAGGGAGCATATGCTGTATGAGATTCTTCGCCTCATTAGCAGAGGGAAGGCTATATACACAATTGACCACACAGAAGGATTGAAGGACGGACTGATAAATGTTCTCGTTACTTGGCTGTAAACTTTTCAAATGGAGCTGTAAGTTATATATGGCACTTCAAGGACTGCGAGTGGTACCAAAGAGAAAGATCTGCCACTCATAGACGCTAGCCGGTTCAGTCTGCCTTCCGGATCAGCTCCCTCTTTACCACAGCGGTTCAGTACAGCGCTTGCATTGCTGCTGAATCCGAACTGAACCGCCTGTCCATTTTCGCTCCATTTTACCCTCATTTGCGAACAAGACCCAGAGATACTTGAACTCCGTTGATTGTGGCAGTGACTCACCCCCAACCCAGAGGGTGAAATCCATTGTTTTCCAGCAGAGTACCACGACCGTAGACGTGAAGTTGTGTACGTTAAAATATGAATAAACACAATAAATATTGATCAGTATTCATATGACCACAGAGCTCCATGCTATACAGGCAGATACATGGAGATTGCAAAGGCCCACAGTGCTCTGAGGTATCTGCAGTTTTGGGTGAAAATAACGTAGTCCTTGGTGAAAGACTAGATTTATTACAGCATGACGGTAAAATGTAAAGTGTAAAGTGTAAAGTTTGACTGCATAGTTTCCCCGTTGACAGCAGTCGTTATGATTCAATGCAAGGTGAGTTCAGGAGCATTACAAAACCTCAGAATTTCTAGCTCCCTTTGATACCAAGCACGATATTGTAGACTAATAAGAAAATGGTTCTGTAGGTTTTCATCACAACTTAATCTTATATTTACAAAGTTTGTATTTGTATGACTTTATTGTTAAAATACTTCATAACAAGACATAGTTTGGACCACAAACAATACAGATGGTTAACGGATTTGAAAACTGAAGACATGTTCTCAATAATGTTTTGTAAATGGACTATTAGGAAATAGTGATGCAAAAAAATAGTGATGCTTCTTAATTTCGTTTTAGGTCATGGGTACAGGGGTCTGCCTTTCCCAGGAGGTTGAGAGCACTTTACAACTTAATGGAGGACTTGTCACCCCTTGTGCTGGGGGGGTTAAAACGATCATGCTCGTGAGAAGGAGGGTTATTGTGGGCTGGAGAAGCATGGGTAGAGGAAGGGGTGTTTTCAAGCCCCAGACCCCCTTTAGAAAACATCTTTACTGGAGCAGGGTCCGACAGTCTGCTCCCTGCCATCCCAGGTGTTGGTTTTCCCGTGCCTCTCTTCCCTCCAGCAGGCCCTGGACCACCGACAGCCTGCTGTTGGTTCCCAGGAGGGGCCGGCGGAGCAGTGGACTAAGCTTTGCTCCTGGCCAAAGGACGTGACTCTGCTACCGGTCTTTGCTCTCTGACTGTTGTACTGTTAACCATTAGGTCGTGAGATTACTATTACTCGTGCATTAATGCAAAATAAGAATTTGACAGTTGTTGGTGGAGCTCATTTTGATCTTTTAACTAATGAATAAGTGTTAACATTAAACTACAGTTTTTCTAAAGCGTCTGTATGTTTTTCATTTTGTCTCCACAGATGTCCCGCAACTGCTGATGAGAAGAGAGGTGGTTCCCCCTGAGCAGCAGGAGTGGAGCTCCAGTCTGGACCAGGAGGACCCAGAGCCCCCCCACATTAAAGAGGAACAGGAGGAACTCTGGACCAGTCAGGAGGGAGAGCAGCTTCAATGGCTGGAGGAGGCTGATATCAATTTCCCATTCACTCCTGTCCCTGTGAAGAGTGAAGATGATGAAGAGGAAGCTCAGTCCTCACAGCTTCATCAAAGACAAACTGGGGAAACCAGAGAAGCTGATCATTTTAAAACGGAGTCTTATGGGGAGGACTGTGGAGGATCAGAACCTGCCAGGAAATCAGATCCAGATAGTCCTTTACAACCGGCTGCCCATGAAACTTTAAACTATTCTGAACCTGAGACTGACGACAGTAGAGATTGGGAGGAGTCTAAGGAACCTCAGTCAGAAGTACCTGTAAGTGATATGGACTGTAATACTGGAAATACATCATTCAGCTCCTCTGAATGTGCTGGAAGCTTTAACAAGAGACATCTGAAGAAACACACCAAGTCCAAAACAGGAGTGAAACTATTTCTTTGTTCAGTTTGTGGCAAAAGATTTGCTCGACAAAGTGTTCTGAGACGACACTTGACTGTCCACACAGGGGAGAAACCGTTTAGTTGCTCAGTTTGTAGTAAAAGATTTGCACATGATTTTAATCTGAGAACACATTTGACTGTTCATTCTGGGGAGAAACCATTTAGTTGTTCAGTTTGTAGTAAAACGTTCAAACTAAAGCAAAATCTGAGACGACACTTGGCTACTCACACAGGGGAGAAACTATTTAATTGTTTAGTCTGTGGTAAAAAATTTGCACAAAAGGGACATTTGAGACGACACTTAACTGTCCACACGGGGGAGAAACCATTTAGTTGTTCATATTGTAGTAAAAAGTTCACACAGAAGGGAGATCTGGAACGACACTTGACTGTCCACACAGGGGAGAAACCACTTAGTTGTACAGTTTGCGACAAAAGATTCACTCGGCTCTGTTATGTAAAAAATCACAAGTGTGTCGGTTAGAGCAGCAGAAATGAACGAGGCTGAAGGAAAAACTCAACAGATCGGCTCAAATCTGTCAGGCTGATACCGACTCCAAAATAAGCTTCTTTTTTTTCAGCTAAGATAACGCTACACAACAATTTAGATTATGTTATTTGTCTCTGCAGTATTTTGTAACTATGCATGTGTCATGTATGTATTGATTAAAACAATTATTTAACAATATCAAGTTATTCTTCAAGCTTTTGGAGCGTTATCTATGATAAATACACTGAATAGAGTGAGGATCTCTCAGGTGTGTCTGACTACTCACTGGTCTGGTGAAAGGGAACCGATCAAAGGAACCGGGTGTGGAGGTCTCTGGTTAACTTGGATGAAGTTCTCCACTTAAATGACATCTATAGTTATACTGGACATTTTTCATATCAAGATTTTACCTTAAAAACATAGTGTGTTACATTTAATCACAATAAATGTTTAATGATTAAACCAGTGGCTCCAAGTCTTGTTATCACTAAGACAGTTGAGCATATGATGCAGGAAATGTACACACTGTTAGATCTGGGAGTTTCAACCCCCGATACAGGGCTAACAAGTAAACCAGCTCTCTCTTAAAAGGTTACTAAGCTGGTGGTCGAGGAAAGTCGCCTGGCTCGCTCGCTCACGTCCCTCCTGACGTCTACCCTGCTTCCTCCGGTAACTGCACTCGGCCTCTTGGGAGCATTGGGCTGCTGAGAAGTGCCCGGGGAGCAGCAGTTAGGGGTTCAGTGTCTTGCTCAGGTACAAGTCGGCATAAAATATGTAGCAACTAAGGATCGAACTGCTGATCTTGCTGTTACCAGACAACCCTCTCTACTCATTGAGCCACAGTCTAATGTACTTGTGGTGGTTTGTGACTGTGCTTAGGTTACTAGGGACAACATGTAACACGTAACATGTGAACATTTTATTCATTTTTATTTAAAAATATCAACTTTTCCACAGTGCTGGGCTGATTATGAGATCAGCTCAAAATGTTCCCAGACAGGGGGAAATCTCCTCTTTCTTGCTGGTTCCATCGCAGAAAGAAGAAGCTCGAGTAGTTTGTAAACAAACGTGCAATAAAGTCCGAAGTACACAAAATGTGACCGGGGATCCATTGCGTTTCGCTGCCCCTTTTATTTCGAATCGCACGCCAAACCCGTGAACCATTGCCTGAATCAGTCACGTGGTACGGCTGGTTCGCGAGGCTTCGAACGTCACCACATACGTCATCGACACAAGCCTCGACACGCGCTTCATACATATCTTCCTGGATTACTCGACACAAGCTTCGAAGCCTCGGCACGAAAGGTCACACTAAGTTCTACTCGTTTAGTCTCACAGTTCATCAGGTACAAGCAAACAACCGGAGTGAACCACCAGAGCCCGCATGTGTCTGTTTAAGT